ACCTAATCTTTCTGCTTATAGTCTCACTTAAACTTGTAGCTGAAAATATCGTTATATTTTTTTTCCATGAAAAATAATAAGTTGACAAATCTAATAGTTGATGTCACCTAGGTAGTATTTTTCAAACTCGACAACGTAGTTGATGTAGCTTTCTAACATATTTCCCTCAATCTATAATTGAGAATACTATAATGAATCTTTAAGATTATGTCTATCGAAAATCCCAATTAAACTACAATTGAAATGGGAATTGGGATATTAAAATTCAATATACCCAATTTGTAGATGAATTGTAGATTATTTGTATTATGATTGTAGATGCTTTATTTTTTGTTTTCACAAATAAAAAATGACTAAAACTTCTACAAATCTTTTGCAAAGAACGCACTTATGTTGAAAATTCCAATTAATATCATCTAACTATGCTTAATTAGTACATATTTTCTTTACCAAATTTATTACTTGATCATGATAAAGCATAATAGTATTAAACGCCAAATATATTTAAATTTTTATCCCCATTTAATATAAAATTTTCTTATTTTATTAGGAGAGAAAATGAATAGACAAGTGAAATTTAGTTAATTATTGGCCAAATAAATAATCAGACACCTAAAGTTGTCTTGAATTTTCACCTAGACACTTCAACAAAACAGGTTTCCTATTGAACACTTAATTTATGTTCAAATTGTTTCAACTAGACACATAATGCTGATGTGGCACAGTATGTGTACCACACCCATTCTAAGAGCGTGAGATTGAAAATTTCTTCTTTTTTAAATATTTTTTTCTTTCTCTTTCTCTCCCCCCTTTCCCCTTCCTCCTCTCTTTGCCTCCAAAACCGCCGTGGCGCCGCCGCCGCCACCGGCTTCTTTTTCTGCTTTAACATCACCATTTAAACCATTTCACCTTCACAATTAGACTTTATCCATTAAAACTCAGAATCAAAATCTCTTTTAATTCGTCTAACGAATGTGGTTGCCGAGAAACGTAAAAAGTACTGTAGCCGACGGATCTAAACGGAAACATCACTACGCCGATGTCTGTTTGAACTATGCAACTTTAAGCAATAGAGGTGACGGCGGGTGTTAAAATAAAGAGGTGACGGACCCTAACAGAAACAAAGGTACGTGAACTTTCAGCAACGGGATGACTACAACGTTGTGGTGGCCGACATTAACCGAAGAGTCCCACGTGGAAAACAACTTTGCAGAGAGGTCGATTTAGAAATTGTGATAGAAGAGCTGGTGAATGGGAATATATTGAAGCCAATGAAATTAGGATCATATGGATCTCGATTTACGGGTGAAAAAGCCTTCAGGAAGAGACTGGAAGAAATTTTTGAAAGCTTCTTGTCTGCTGCATTAACAGAACTTGAGGCGAAAACAGAAGGTGAAAAAATAAAACAATTGTGAGTACTCATTACACTATCGTTGGAGAAGCCCATTTCGACGAAATACAGGGACACTCAATCGGAGATTACAAATTAAGGGTTTCAGAAGACGATAGCGGGAGGTTCTGCTAGGAAGCAGATGTGATTTTCTTTTTTCTTTTATTTACTCAAAAGCTTTTTTTTAAATTATTTTTCACGAAAAATCAACTTGGCTTTATTCTATTTGTTTTGTCCATATCATCGCGTGTATAGTTCACGCGTTCAGTTTTTTTTAGTAACTGATATTGCAGTGTTCAATAGGAACACTTTAACCGTACAATAGGTGTTCAATAGGAAACATCTGTAGTTAAAGTGTCTAGGTGAAAATTCAAGAGAACTTGAGGTGCCTGAGTATGTATTTGGCCATATTCTTTGGTCTCCCTCATCCTCATAAAACCATAGAAGCACTACCCTTTCTCACCCTTGACTGCTGCCCCATATCCATTTCTCTTCCTCCTTAGAAAATGGAACAAGTTCAACTCATCTCTACCTGTCTAGTTGGAGCAGCAACTTCCAAGTTGTCAAGCTCAAACAATAATGGCAACAACACAACCATTTCCCAGATTGAAATGACACCATTGGACTTGCAATTCCTTCTTGTTGACACTATCCAAAAAGGTCTCCTCTTCAAAAAACCAACTCCTCAACAAGAAAACACTCTGTTCAAATCATTCTCCTCTCTTTCCTTAATTGATCACTTGAAAACATCTCTTTCTCGCACCTTAGACTTCTTTCCTCCTCTAGCTGGCCGTTTTTCCACTACTAAAAATGCTCATGATGATACAATTTCTTTCTTCATCACTTGTAATAACGCTGGAGTTGAATTTACTCACGCTATTGCTCCAGAATTAACCGTGGAAGAAATTCTTGAATCTTGTTATGTGCCACCTAATGTTCATTCCCTTTTCCCACTTAATAAAATGCGTAACATCGAATGTGTTACAAAGCCTTTACTAGGAGTTCAAGTAACAGAACTTGTTGATGGTTATTTTATTGGTTGCACTATGAGTCATAGTGTAGGAGATGGCACTTGCTTTTGGAATTTCTTCAATTCTTGGTCTGAAATATCCAATGGATCTGAGTTTATTAGTAGATCTCCAGTTTTAAAAAGGTGGTTTCCTCAGAATATAAAGCCTCCAATTCATCTCCCTTTGAAGCTAGAAGATCAAGAATTATATGAATGTATGGAGTTTCCACCATTGAAGGAAAGGACTTTCCATCTCAGTAAAGAAAACATAGGGAAATTGAAAGCAAAAGCTAACTCTGAAATGGGTACTAAATCTATCTCTTCTCTTCAAGCCTTTTTGGCTCATTTTTGGAGATCTGTTACTCGTTGTCGTCAGCTTGATTCCAAGGAAGAAGAAGTCACTATCAACATTGTCGTAGGTAAAGTTTTGTGACCCAAAAATAAATTTTTGACTTTGTTGTTATAATGGGTAAATTCATTTTTTGCCACAGTTACTGTTACAGTGAGGTATTCTTGAAGCAACAGTAAAGTTGTCTTTTTGTGATAGTCAATCATTAATGCTTGCATTATGATGCTGTTTACATCAAACTCCTTTCTCGGACCCTGTGTGAACGCAGTTGCTTTAATTTAAAAAAAATTGATTTTGTAACTTATTGTTATAGATGATAGTTCAGTTACTACCTCTGTTTCAATTTAGATAACACACTTTTCTTATAAGTCTGATCTAAAAAAATGACACATTTATACAATTGGAAATAATTTAAGTTTATGTGAAATTAATCCATTATTGTAGGCACAAGACGGAGGCTAAATCCTCCTTTGGCAGAAGGGTATTGGGGAAATGCAGCTTATTTCAAGCCCGTAAAAACAACAGCAGGGGAACTGTTAGAGAAAGGACTTGGCTGGGCAGCATTGCAAATTAACAAAATAGTTGCTTCTCAGAACAATGATGAAGTGGTGAAACTATATAAGGAGTGGGTGGAAAAGCCTGTATTACTTACAAAGGGTTCATTGTTTGTGGCCAATAGATTGGGAATTAGTAGTTCTCCAAAGTTTAGTGTTTATAGTACTGATTTTGGTTGGGGGAAACCAGTAGCAGTGAGGAGTGGGATGGCAAATAAAGGTGATGGAAAAGTAACATTATTTCCTGGGGCAGAAGAAGGAAGTGTAGATATTGAAGTTTGTCTTTTACCTAAGACTTTGCTAGCAATGGAGAATGATGAAGAGTTCATGGAAGTTGTTACTGTTTAGAGAAAGAAGATATACCAAATCACCCTCCTTTGAGAACTATGATCTTTTTTCGGTTATGTAATATTTAGTTCAATCAAACAATAAAGGGTTCTTTGGCTGCTTTTAATGTGAAATTGCTACTGTGATTTGGGTTTATATGCATTACTAGTTTCTTGGAGTATAGAATTTAAAATGTTTGCATAAAATTTAATGGGTACTTGAGCAACCACAAGTAGCAATGCAGGTCCACCATTGTAGGTTGGTGTGGTTTTTAAAACATTTCTTATAAATAATATCTGCATAAGCTTATGCAAAGATTGGAAGAACAAAAACCGTCAGAAGTGCTGACACACAAAATAATTTTTTTCCAAAAAGCTAAAGTATGGCCTCTCTCTATCTTCCTTCACTATACCAATTACGTAGTTGTTGGCCAAGTAAAGTTTTGTTTTGAAGATTGACAAAGGAAGCTCAAGTATGAACCAGGTCCATCTACGATGTACACAGACACAGGTAGAATCAAGCATAAGGGATGCACGTGAGGGAGATAAGCTTAACTTGTTATATCTGATATCTCCTGATCGAAAATGTTGCATAATTGATAAGGAGAAGGACTCGTTACTCAAAGAGAACACTATCCAAGATAAGGAAGGAGTTAGAGGTTGAAGTTAACTAGAACTCTTTCACCAAGGAAGAGTAGCATTAGAACTCTAGTTATTTTCTACTCTACTAACTCTATAAATCGCAGGATGTTCTCACTTTACACATATACACAAACGCAGAAGTTAAACGTGAATTGAGAGCAAAATAGCAAGGTATTTTGCAAGTAATTCGTATGTGATTCAAGTGTGCAAACCTGAAGCTACATGAATGTGATACCCTATATTTTTAATAAGGGTGTAGTAGTCATTAGCAACAAATAATAATAATAATAATAATAATAATAACAATAATAATAATAATAATAATAATAATAATAATAATAATAATAATAATAATAAGAAGAAGAAGAAATTAAATTCCAAAAAGCTAAAGTATGGCCTCTCTCTATCTTCCTCCACTATACCAATTACGTAGTTGTTGGCCAAGTAAAGTTTTGTTTTGAAGATTGACAAAGGAAGCTCAAGTATGAACCAGGTCCATCTACGATGTACACAGACACAGGTAGAATCAAGCATAAGGGATGCACGTGAGGGAGATAAGCTTAACTTGTTATATCTGATATCTCCTGATCGAAAATGTTGCATAATTGATAAGGAGAAGGACTCCTTACTCAAAGAGAACACTATCCAAGATAAGGAAGGAGTTAGAGGTTGAAGTTAACTAGAACTCTTTCACCAAGGAAGAGTACCATTAGAACTCTAGTTATTTTCTACTCTACTAACTCTATAAATCGCAGGATGTTCTCACTTTACACATATACACAAACGCAGAAGTTAAACGTGAATTGAGAGCAAAATAGCAAGGTATTTTGCAAGTAATTCATATGTGATTCAAGTGTGCAAACCTGAAGCTACATGAATGTGATACCCTATATTTTTAATAAGGGTGTAGTAGTCATTAGCAACAAATAATAATAATAATAATAATAATAATAATAATAATAATAATAAGAAATTAAATTCCAAGAGGAATTTAATAATAATAATAATAAGAAGAAGGAGGAGGAGGAGGAGGAGGAGGAGGAGGAGGAGGAGGCTGGAACCAAACCTTAAATTCGGACTGGTTCTTGCGGGTAATACTCGAATATCTCATCTGGGTTCTTTCTTCTGGTAATTCTTTTTGTCTCAGTTCATATATTTGAAGGGTTTCACAAGGTATAAGAAATTTAATACCAATAAGAGTTATTCTGGGCAAATTATGCAATTGGAAGTTGGTCAATGTTAATGTAGGATAAATTCACTTGGAAAAAAGAAGGGTATTGATGTATTTGTACTTAAACTAGTCTCATTATATATGATCTTTGTTAGGTGTAAATTAAGTTAGGGTACAAGGATTGAGTTTTGGTGGTTAACTGTATTGCAATGGACAATATCGAATTTGGGTTTGAATGTGGTAAGTCTAGTATTGAGTACAAAAGATAAGTTCCAATTAAGAAGGAATATTATGGCCGTAATGTTATTTCAGATTCAATTTATGCACACGATAAAGGAATTGAATAGTACCAGGAATAAACCATATAAATACCTTTTTATTTAAAAGATTTTGGACTAATTTGAATTACTCATAGCATGGGTAAATATAATTTGGCTAATTGATGATAAAATATAAAACTCGGAGGATTGGGTATTCTATATTAGTGATGGATTTAGCCTAAATGAGGCAATTAACACGAGATCGGTGTCGATGTGATTATAGATGGATTGAAGAAAGTCGTACGGATCGTTCGATACGACGAGTTTGGTATTTCGCACGAGTACTGTGAGTAGTAATCTTACCGCAATTTGTGTTTTCATAACTTGCATGATTTACACATGATTTTTAATATGAATATGTTACCGATTATTTTGAGTTGCATATGGGACAAGTCTTTTGCTCAATATGATACCGAAATAGTTATTTGAGATGATTATCGTTGTTTTAAATATTCTTGTTGTCATTAGATATGTTTTACCCTTACTTGAATTTACTGTTATCGAAATGAAAATACATGATTTGATAAGAACCAAAATGCCCTATATTGTTTTAAAATATTTTCCTATGAGTATATACGAATACAGAGACAAGTATAAAATGGGGTATACTTTGAAGGATCCCGTAGCTAACGGGTTCGTTAGACCTGGTGCACCATGTAATTACATATTATCGTTATAATCCTCGCTAGTGAGAAGGTAGAACTAGTACACTATTACTGATTTCCCTCGAGTAGGGACTACTGTTATATTTGGCTTCTTGCGAAGAAGTCCACAGTTATACCGATTACATGATCCGTTCATTGAAACCTCCCAAATGTGAATATTGATATTATACAATGGTTACCGAGCTTATTATTGAATTGTTGATTGTATTATACTACAAGAAAAAAACATGATGAGCTGAAAATTATTTATTATTTCTAAAAGGGCATTTTTATGTTATTTTCTGTTTGATATACTAGCATATTTTCTGACTTGTCCCCAATAAAAACTGTTGTGGTTAAGTGTTGTTACTCACTGAGCTAGCGACTCATTCCCTGCTATTTTTTTTACAGAGACAGCAGTTGACGCGGGCGAGGATTTCGTTATTTAGAGCGCACAAGTTGATAGTTTTTGGTGAGCCCCACACTTGTTCGCGCGGACAGAGATTTTAATTATTGTTATGGCCTTTTCTATGAACTCTTAGAGTCGCTCCATAGTCATTCTTTTAGAGGCTTGAGTATTCTTTTGTTATTATAGAGTTATGTTGAGTATCGCTCATTCTTATCAAAGTTGGAGATAAAGTAGCATTTCAAGTTGTTAGTGGGGGGACTATTAATGGTTAGATATTTGTTTTGATTAATTAATAAAGTCATTTCCGTTTGAATTGATATTAGGATGTTTGGTTGTGGATTTGAGACAGGGAACTTTTTGGGATAGTCAAAGAACTGGGGAAACTTTGTCCGATTTTTTATAAAATACCGATAAGGCTTACTTGGGGGCACTTGCTCCTAAGTGCCGGTCACGATCCTAAATTGGGTCGTGAAAAAGTTGGTATCAGAGCTTAGGCTTTAAGTCTTGAGTCATGGAGCAATGTTTAGTAGAGTCTGGTTCACGGGTATGTAGACGCTCATACTTATGATCTTGAGGCTACTGAATATCTAGGAATGTTTTCCCTTCTTTCATTCTTTGACCGTGCATTGAGATAACTTGAGATTGACTTTGGAATATTTTTTTCGCAGATGGCTAGGACACACACACTCTCATCTGCTGGACATGGTGCTACCCCGGGTGGAGGTCAAGTTGGAGTTCATCAAACTAGAAGACAGACTGCTCCTCAACCTGAAGTTGGGAACATGGGTCAATGCCAAGCTGCTATGCCAGATCAAGTGCAAGGGCAGGGAGTTCAGGACGCTCCACCACCAGTGCCAACTGTTGTACCTACTATTGCCTTACATGCAGATGCAGTGGCAGGTTATTGAATGTGTTAGAGGCATTGGTGCCTACTCAGGGTGGAAGTTCAGCTCCTCAGGCTACTTTACAGACACAAGCACCTGCACATACTCACACTTTCGGGAATAAGGAGGTATCCCTGCAAGAGTTCCTGAAATTGAAATCACCAAAATTCACAGGTTCCGATAATTCAGCAGATCCTGAAAGTTTCTTGGATGGGACACTTAAGGCATTACGTGCTCTTGGATGTTCTAGTGAGAGAGTCGTGGAGCTCGCAGCATACAAACTAGAGGATATGGCCAACATATGGTATGAAACTGTATTGCTAGGAAGGACAGTAGGAGCAACACCACTGACGTGGGACGAGTTGACTATGTTGTTCATGAACCATTTTCTTTCAGACAGCCTGATGCAAAAGTATGCTAGAGACTTTGAGAGATTGGTTCAGACTCCAGATATGGATGTGTTAACATATAACACCAAGTTTTGTAAGCTGGCTAGATATTCTCCTTACTTAGTGTCTACCTAATAAGCTCGAGTTTAAAGGTTTGTTGATAGATTGGTTGGTCGTCTATACACTGCAGTAGCTCCACAGATGAAGACTTTATCCTACTCCGATGCAGTCCACCTTGCTAGAAAGATTGAAAACAAAGGACGTGATGAGCGTGCAGCTAGTAATTTATGTAAGAAGGCCAAGACAGGAGGGTCTTTTAGTGGCGGTTTTAGTGAAAATCGAAGAGCAGAAAATCAGGGACAACAACAATAGGGTTCTCAGACAAGGACACACCTGTCTTCACAGTCCACATACAGACCACATTATAGACAGGGTACTAGGGGATCGTCAGCATCTGGACATCGTAATTCTGGGCAAATAATGCCACTACTCCAGTCTGCCAGACCTGTGGTAGATCACAATTGGGCCAGTGTCGTGTTCTGACTGGAGAGTGCTTTCGGTGTGGCTAGTTGGGACATCACTTGAGGGATTGCCCTTAGCCTCCAAGGAATTTCAACCAGGCTTCTATTCAGTCAGCTGCACCTACTCAGACTACACATAATACTTTAGGTGCTACAGGTACAGGAAATAAAGGTCGAGGTGCTGGAGACCGTGCTACTG